GTTAGCTGACGATCGACGTGTGAGTTAGCTGACGTGAGTTAGCGGACGGTCGAGTGTGAGTTAGCGGACGACGTGTGAGTTCGGACGGTCGACGTGTGAGTTAGCGGACGCGACGTGTGAGTTAGCGGACGCGTGTGAGTTAGCGACGATCGACGTGTGAGTTAGCGGACGGTCGACGTGTGAGTTAGCGGACGATCGACGTGTGAGTTAGCGGACGGTCGAGTGGAGTTCGGACGACGTGTGAGTTAGCGGACGGTCGACGTGTGAGTTAGCTGACGATCGACGTGTGAGTTAGCGGACGGTCGACGTGTGAGTTAGCTGAGATCGACGTGTGAGTTAGCGGACGGTCGACGTGTGAGTTAGCGGGGTCGGCGTGAGTTAGCGGACGATCGACGTGTGAGTTAGCGGACGGTCGACGTGTGAGTTAGCGGACGGTCGACGTGTGAGTTAGCGGACGGTCGACGTGTGAGTTAGCGGACGGTCGACGTCTGGTCCTCACCTATCAGTCAAAATCAGTTGATGATTTCAAAAAAGGCTATGAGGCAGAAGTTGGTGCCCGTGAAATTGATGTTATGCATTCGAATGTCAGGGTTTCACAAGAATTCGGCTGGGAAAGGTGAAGTCGCTCGCATGGTGTCACTCAAGTCGCAAATCATTCTGCGTGTAGGCTGGCTGGCAAGACTCGGAATAGGCCAGACAATTCCAGCTGACCAAGCTAGATATGTGCAAGACCTCAATGCTTGGTGTCTGTGGCAAAAACATTGCGAAAAGTGCGAACATTTCGAAAGGATATTGGTCGCCACGTGCTGAGCTCCGCATTCATGTAGTTTTCGTGACCTAGTCGATTTAGTCAACAGCGTGGTCTTCTTCAGATCAGCTTTGAAGAAGGCAGCACTGGCCAGTTCTCGGCGCACTGCTGACGCAGAACTGGAAAAACACTAAATGGCGCCATCTGATGGTGATAACTAAAGTTTAAAGGCGGGCGGTCAACTGGTGACACACCTAAGGTGGTGCTTAGTACAAAAAGCGTCATACTATACTGTTGTTTGCTGGCAAGAAACCGCTGGTTCTACCTGATGTGATAAATGTGAACAGGTTTCCAGCTGTTAAAACTACTTAACTTTCAAGGTTGATGAAGTGATGTGTTTTCACAGGCGCAAGCTGATGATATGCTGCAATATTGTTCCAAGGCATTAAATATGCGTCACACAATCAAGCAATTCTGTCCATCTCTATTTCGTATGTCTAGAGTTTACAAGATATACGTTTTGCCCCTACCTGGACACTCTGCGGCTGCTGTCTACGCAGATATCACCGCCCATCAGGCCCGACAAATAGGTTGAATGTAGACGCGGGCCCTTACGCCATAACTGGGGTTGCCATAAATCATCAACGGAGTCTGAGGATATACACTACGAACCGTGAAGACGCTTAGTGGGTGTGTAAAAGTGATAGCTTACGCTTACATGCATTTCTCTCGTCTCTCTCATCTCTCTCCTCCTCTCTCTCTCTCTCTCTCTCTCGCTCCTCTCTCTCTCTTCTCTCTCTCTCTCTTCTCTCTTTCTTCTCTCTCTCTCGCTCTCTCGCTCCTCTCTTTCTCTCTCTCGCTCTTTCATTTTCCTCTCTCTCTTTCTCTTTCTCTCTTTCTCTCTCCCTACTCCTCTCGCTCTTTTCTCTCCCTCTCTCTCTTCTCTCTCCCTGTCTCTCTCTTTTTCCCTCTCTCTCTCCTCCTCCCACAGTTGGCTGCGCCGTGCTATTTGTTCTACCCTTTATCTGCTCTCCTTGCAGCACCTGACATCAACCATTATCCTCACTGAAAACCAACATGGGCGGTTCCATGGGATGCACTCCAGTGCACGTGAGTGACTTCCCGCATCGTCACACTTTTACCAATACCATTGTCTGGCTTTTCCTTCGTCAAACGGTGTTCGCCTCCTGTCTCTTTCGTGCCAGTTCGTCAACATCTGTGCCTGTTTTCGCGCCGCAGAAATATTTAGAAGGAAGGGATTTTTGTTCCGCATGTCGACACGAGGAGTGAAATAATCTCGTCACATTGTGAGATATTGCATAATACTCACATCTGATAAAAGAGCTTGCACGTACAGGATTTCAATACACACATCCTACTTTTTAATTAATTACGCCTATTTTGCCCCAAAATTGCATGAAATCGCCATCAGCGGTTACAGAGGTATAATTTACATTCAGTGGGAGGGCCACATCGGGTTGGTTTGGCTGCCCAACTTAAATCGTTGTCACTTTTCAACATGTTGTTGGACATGCCTCGATTGTCAACAACTTATGTGCATCCATATTTGCTAGCGTCTGTGAGCAGTAGCAATTTCTATTGAAAAGATATCGGCACGAGGGTGAAATTAAATTGTCTTTGCCCGTCAGACAATACCAGCACACTCAGATAAGTCAGCTCACTCATTCAAAACACAAATTAGCGCGTTTGTCATTTATAGCCCAGCTATCCATCACCAAGGCATATTACATGAGCATGCGGAAGGAATACGGCCTCACACATGATAAAATACACAAGATAGGCGTTCAAAATAGTTACAGTGCCGCAATAAAAAGACAGAGCCTAAAACATGCGCGGCAACTCGCACACCCTCTTCACCTACGCGTACAACGGGTTAGAGGTACAGCGTGCAGATGATGTTTAAGTTCGCACCTAAGCAGTACATTGCCCTTTTCCCTGATGTTTGGTAGCGCATTAATTTGGCGTGGAACCCTGTACAAGTCAGCGTTTACCCTGTTTGAAGCGGATACTGGGCACACACAGCAACAGCCCAACCTGTCTCAAGGGTCGAGCATACTCAGCGGTTTTTTTTATTAGTTCACATCTGTCCGGTGATGTATTCCAGTTGACCAAAAAACACGAGTTTTTTCTCCATAGGAAATTAATTGGCACTGAAGTTGCGCCACCCCACAGCTTCTCACCAATTAAATACATGATGAAATAATCCTCCCTGCTGGGACTCATGGAGCGCAAAACAAGACAATTGGGGAAATCGTCTGGATTTTGGGCGGTACTGTCACCGTGCACTACCAAATTGTAGCAAATTTGCGAAACCACCAGGGCGGTGACCATTCCCGCTAGATAGCCGGACGGACACTAATGACGTAGGCTGGGCAGAGCAGTGAGGCAGCAGCAACATTTTACCATACGGACCCAACGCTCAATGCGCATTCTTGGACAGATATTGGTGGAACACGAAACCTATATGGTTTGAGTTCACTCCTAGCAGCCAGACATGGTCCTGGATAAGACAATTTGGTCGGTGGAAAAGTGCGCAAATTTATCTGGGAACGAGAAGCCGTGGTTCTAATTTAGCGACGTTAACTTGTGGACCATTGGAACGGAAATAGCTCCCAGGATATGTAAATTTTCGTTACACTATGCATTTCTGTGGTCCGGACACCATTACCCAAGGTATTCAAGCGCAACAAGATGGCGTCGGCTGTAATATTATACAGCGCCGATAGTACAGCCCTGCCATACCCTGGTGTCATGTTACTTGCATGCCTCCACCCTCACCACCCATTGGCCAAGCAAGCTTCTTGTCAGGATTGGTGGCGAAGGCGTCAACGCAGTACATCTGGGCGTCGTCGTTATCAGACTGTGATCACACCAGCAGGCAAGCTCACACATACACACATATATGTCTCACACTGGGACTGGCACCCACAGAGAGGAGGGGCTGGCGCCGCGGCGGACCGGGGCCAGAGCAGATCGCGCCTTCGCATCGTTGCTGGAAGAGGGGTGTCACCCCAGTCCGGCCAGACTGAGCCTGCGGCACACGGTCTTCAGTCACGCAAGCACATCCCACTGATCTACCAACGGAACAATCGACAGATCCATTCACAGACACATCCACAATCGCACATGCACGCGCTCACCCACGCACTCACGCACGTGCGTCGTCACTGTCTGTACTGTTGTCGAGATGCTCCTGAAGCAGATTGCTTGGTTATACTTTTTGACATTGACGCATCGCTGATGTTAACAAACCGGGTTATCAGGACATCTCGCAGTTTTGAGATAAAACAAGAATTGATGAAACTCAAGGGCTACAGTTAAGAATGGTCCTTCGCGCATTTCGTGTACGTTATGTAAATCCTGGCTGAGGGATCACGATGAGCGTTTTATGACCTGATGCGCGACGGAACACCACCTTGAACCAAGAACTCGGCGGAATTGACCTGTCAGACACCACCAGTTGACGGCTTGAGCTCGTTGCTGTTGCGGCTGTTGATGTTACTGCTGTTGTCATCGTCATCGTTGCTGTTGTTGTTCTTGGCGGATGGTCGTTAATGTCCGGTTGACCACGTAGTTGGGAAGCTCCAAATGCAGCCGCACGCTCACAAATTAATCGAACCCAAACCCCGGTAGCGGTCAGAGCTCGTCACGGGACCGACTGGACGATCGCTCGTGCGCGTTCCAGGACTCGGCCAGCGGCAGGCTGCTCCAGAAACGGACGCGCTCCTCGAAGGCGCGGGTCCCGAGCGACGGCGCCGCGTTCAGACGCAGGTGGCGCTGGCTCTGCGCCGTGAAGATGGGCCAGGCGGGCGCGTCCAGCACGTCCGTGGCGGGGTAGCCGCGCCGGGCGAAGCTCGTCCACAGGCTGACCAGCAGCCGGATCATGGCGTACTCTGGCGAGCCGCGCCCCGGCAGCGGCTGCCGCTCGCCGTGGAACAGGTAGGCCAGATCGTCAGCGTGCGACACGAGAGGCGTTGGCGGCAGCGGGATGCCGAGCAGGTCAACGAACCGCAGCTGGCCGGCTCCCACGTGATCGAGAACATACTTGTAGACGGGCACGTACTGCGAGGCCAGAACGGCCTCGGCCGACAGGCCCAGGGTGAAGAAGCGGTCGCTGAAGTAATCCATGAGCCCGGTGTCGCCGCGGCCGTGGAAGTACTCCCGGATCTTATCAGCGACGTCACGCGGTTTGTCAGTCTTGTCTGATATGTCGCCGCCGCGGGGGAGAACCTCCGACGTCCAGGCCTCAGCGTCCCCCGCCTGAGCTCGCTTCAGCACGTCTGGTCGGAGAAATGATGCCGACAATCCCCACGCCTTCGTCCTGGTTGCAGCCTATCATCCAGGGCACGCGGCTGAACTGGCCACGCTGCAGCAGCACGTTCGGCTGGTCTGGCAGGAACGGTGACGTCGACTCGCGGTCGACACGCGGACGGAACAGGTTCCACCCACCCTCCACCAGTGCGCCGTAGGGACCCAGAGACTCCAGCACTCGCATGATGTCGGCCGCCGGTGCGTGACGCACGCACTCCACCACGGCCCAGCTGTCTTCGGACGGACAGCCGAGCTCAGCAGCGAAGTGAAGCGCCAGGGACCGCTGACGGTCGCCCAGCGCCCAGAAGGCCGAGGCGCTGCCCGACTGGCTGACTGGCCCCGGTGGAAGAGGCCGGCCTGACAGCGGGCTGATCACCTGCAGCGAGACGCTGGCGCCGCCGGCCGACTCGCCGAACACCGTCACCAGCTGCGGGTCGCCGCCGAAGCGGGCGATGTTGTTGCGCACCCACTGCAGCGCCAGCACCTGGTCCAGCAGGCCGATGTTGCCCGGCGCCGCCGCGTCGTCCGTGGTGAAGAAGCCGAACACACCGAGTCGGTAGTTCAAGGTGACGACCACGACGTCCTCGTCCATCAGGAAGTCGACGCCGTGGAGATCGGCGTCGCCAGAGCCGCTGATAAAGGCTCCTTCATGGATCCACACCATGACGGGCAGACCGGGCTCGCCGTCACTGACTGGCAGCCGGGGCGAGTACACGTTGACGAACAGGCAGTCCTCCTGGCCCTCCATGATGTTGTTATTCAGCATGTTGTACTGCAGGCAGGTGGAGCCGTGCCTGGCGGCGTCGCGCACCCCCGACCAGCCGGGGTGAGCGCGCGGCGGCCGGAGGCGCAGGTCGCCCACCGGCGGCCGCGCGTACGGGATACCCTTGAAGGCGGCGTACTGGCGTCCCTCGAACGAGCTCAGGGTGACTCCACGCAGCGCCCCGTCCCCGAGCCGCACCAGCGGCCGCTCGGCCAGCGCCACCACCAGCCACGTGAGCACAAGCAGCGCACGCATCGCCCGGGCAGAGTTCATCCCACGACTAAATGAAGGCCACATGTCAGTCGACTGGGCGGCGACGGCGCTGCACAGAGGCGGCGAAACGCACTCAAGGCCGTCGCCCAATGGAGAGGGTGACTTGCAGTTACGCTACGCCAGCATCTGCCACGGCGCGCTGAGCATTGAACTGAAGACAGGGGCAATGGATCAGGTGGCGGGGGTGGGGGCGGCTGCCTCCCCCCCCCCTCCCTCCACCTCGGGGCAACATTCGAAATTGACCCTACGGCGGTGCCTGGAAAAGGAAAAAAGAAACGAGGTAAGAATCACGTTTGCCCTATCCCACATGCCAAAGCTGTACGTCCACCAGGAAATGAACGTGAATGCATTATGCAACCCTAATTTGGGGAAGGGTAATGGGCGAATCCCATCCCAGCCCTTCGCTTTTTTCGCTGGTTTCTCCGAGATGGTTTCAACAGAGAAAGCATAGCGCGATTCTGTGCGCTTCCTTCAATGTATATAGGCGAGCTGTATTAAGGTATAATCTTAAGATGTATATATATACATATATATATATATATATATTATATATATAAGAATATATATATATATATAATCATTCATTGTACTCTCGGTACACTCAGGGAGGTTTTAAGGAGAATAAGCTGTAAGCGTCGGTGTGGCCATCGCATCCTTTGAAAGCGAGAACGTTTTCCACAATTCGTTGTAACGCGCGAAGTTCATATTAGATGAGCCATGGAGGTGAGTTCTAAATTACAGTCTACCGAAAAACAGCCACGGCAAGCCCCGACCAAGATGTCAACAGTTCATCTGGATAGGATTTAAGTATATTTGCGTAGAAAATAAGACGCTCTCGGAAGTGGCCCCATGCTACAAATCCTGCTAAACGTAAGTAGTATCAGCTGTCCAGAGAGTCAGACGGCGAAAGTTTGACCGCTCCCAGAAAAGTACTGTGTGAGGCAGCATAGGCCAACTGGCACAGCGTATGGAGGGTCCGCGACGCCGTGGAGTGACATCACGTGTATTGATTTTGACCTCGACTGCCGACGTCCGACCGGGGTCGCGGCCGAGATTCCTGTGGCATCATCGTGACTCGATGGCTGGCAGGCGTTTGTGACTCGGTCCTAGCGTCTCCTCTTCCGGCATCAGCGCTGTCCGCGTGTCCGCGTGGTCAGGAGTTGACCTTGGCGTGAATTGGTGGGTGGGCAGGGCAAATTGCACTTAGTGATGGACCATCAGGGGGTCATATGAGCAAAGACGGCCATGCCAGCCGACTGCCGAGTCACACTGCCGGTCGACGGTGCTTCAACAATGATGATGTCGCATCATAGTTGGCCACCGCGCTTCACAAATCGCGGCTGCGGCCGAACCCTCGGCATTGAGTGATGGACTCTCAGGTGGACAGCTGAATAAAATGGCGTCTTCACTGGAGAAATGTGCTCCACTGCCAGCTGATAGCCCTACATCACTACAGCAGCGCTGTGGAATGGATATCCTCTTCGCACATAACTGAAATCATTTTCCCAGGCCGCCGCAGGCTGTTGAAAGAAAGTGCCCGGCAAGTCAAGGACTGCCAACATTATTGCACGGCGAGCAGATAAATCGCCTATGTTCGTTGCCAATAGATGCGAGTGCTTACTAGAACGTGGCAACATCTAGCTGAGGAAACAAACTTTGAAAAACTTAACAAGGGCCCCACTAACAAACTCAGAATTGAGGTGAATAAAATCCTTCATGCTGCCGATGCTAAGAGTGGTATTACGCACCACAACAAAAAATGAGGTGGTTTGAATGAGGGATACGCTATGCCCTAGTTCTAGCTACTGTGGTCATTTTGCGCCCAAACTTGACAATTTGCTAAGCGCCTGAATCATTTATTGACTCCTAAGATGCCGGCAAGGCATAGCATCAAGTTAAGAGATGAGTTCACAGATGTCACTAAAAACACAACAAAAAGCATCTTTAGCTTTTGGAATGTGAGAAGTCCCTTCACAAATGTATATGGCAGGCAAACAGTTGATATAGTTCCAAACACGTCTGTAACCGCGAAGCACTGAAGTGTTTGAAACTGTCGCATCAATTGTAGAAGGCCTGCTCTGGCATGCACAATTGAGTTACCTTTTCGGCTACCGGATGGTTAGCTTTATCGACAGACAGAGAGCGTGACAAAGGGATCACCATAAGGTCCCTTATGTGCGAACTTTCACATGCATGAAGTAGACAACAAAGTACTTCACGACGATAAACCGCAACCAAAGATCTACTGCCGCTACAATGACGACATTTGTGTCGACACCAAAAAACAGGGCAGCACTTTTAACAATGACAGGATACCTTGCCAGCTAACTCAGTTGTGAGATTCACCCATGAGATTTGCAACAATCGTCAGATAGCATTTTTGAGCCGAAATCAACACTTAACCTGGCCGTTCGTGATCCCCGTGGACAGAAAATCAACAGACCTCGGTAAATGTATGAATACACGGAGTTTATGTCCAAGATCGCCTACGCGCGCCGTAATCGAGGCATGCACCAGACGTACAGCCCGCAACTGGTCAAGACAAGAGGCCCTGCACTTCGAACTGGAGCGTTCACGACAGCTTCTGTTGAGTAACGGGTACACCAACCGGGATGTGGAGAGTGAGACCCTTGACATCCTGTGCAACTTGGTTGAACTAGCTCACTACAGAGCGAAACAGACGCCAACAACGCCATCTACAAAAACCAAATATAAACTGCATATCACGTTGATGGACGGTTTTTTCACGAAGTCATGAAAACCAGCGTCATTAGCATCAACGACGCCGATCACATTGAACTGGTAAGGTACTGCAAGGACAAAAAAGTCTCCGAAGTACTCGTAAAATAGGCAAAATAATGACAAGCAGCTAAAGCATACCAATAGCCGTTTTACGAAGGATAGATGCGTTGGAAACCTTTAGTACATTTTAAAATGTTTCAAAATATTTAAGTATATACTAAGCATTCCTTGGCAGGATCTGTTACGGTTTTAATTAAGCCACTTATAGCATGTCCGGCATGGCAGCGGTGCTGATCGGTCGAGCACGCTGAATGATTTTCTGCGGCGTTATTGCTTTTATCGTTGTTGCGTGGGCAAAGCTCGGTTTGAGGAATATTAATCGTTTTGAGAGAACATTCAGCGCCGGCTATGTCAAGGTGAGAAAGCTCTGTAAGTGGTGCATATATATATATATATATATATATATATATATATATATATATATATATATATATATGAAAAGGAACACCGCCAGCATTCTGTTGGGAGACCAAAGCGCCTTGACAACTAATCACATTAATTCTAAACTTTACATCGGTAACCTCTCAACGGTGCTAAAAATGGCGTCTTAGGCGGGGTGCTGATCTGCCAACTCCAAAGCCCAGACGCAGGTTGTACGCTCCATAATATGAGCCGTAATGGCATGGCGACAACTTCCTATAATCCCCAGCGCCGGCTTGCATTATAAGAGACGCTATATACCAGAATAAACCATACAACTATAAACAAACAACTTTAATCATGTACAACCCTCGCCTTGTATTCAACGGCATGTTGTATTGAACAACATGATTGGGTAAGGGTCGATGTAACAAAACCCAGATCCCAAGGCGATGTCGGGTAGATGACAGCACGGTAGACCTGGCTAGCTGTGCTAAAGGTGGCGCTGAGGCTTCGATGAACACCGAAAGTGGGGTGCTCGAGCCGTGTACAGTAAACGGTGGCGGGGTCACTGGGTGACGTGAAAGAGATCACTCGCGTATTATTGCCATTTAGATAACGTCAAAACTTAGGCCAATGAAATAAGACATACTGAGAGAGAGATCACTCGTGTATTGCCATCATTAAGATAGCGTCAAAACTTGGGCCAATGAAATAAGACACACTTCATACACAATGCAACTGAGCTGCCGATAATGCACTAGGAAGACCGGCTTTCCAAGGACTTTTCGCTCCTTGGAAACGCACGCTTTCAGAGAGCGCACACTCCACTTAGTGAGCACAAAGCAGCCTAATACGCGGCAGTTGAATACGATAAACAATACCATCCTGAATATCACGTGAAAGTTTTAGCAGGCCGCGAGAAGAACTGGCGGATCTCAGGATGAAAAATGCTGCACAGCCGTAATCTTTCCCTAAAGCTGAACACACGGACGGGCGTGTTGGGTCTTTTGCCCTCTTAGGTTTGGCTTCCGCGTATCTTATACTGCTTTTGGGCAACTTCGTCTTGTTAGATATATTTAGAAAGAGTCCTCTAGTCGTGGTAAACACTGACACCCGCCGGCAAGTTTCTCTCCATGTGTTTTCTCGGTACGTGGCATCGAAACCTTTTTTTTAGCTGTTCGTGTTTCAGGCGGCTCTTAGCACAGAACCTCGTGTCGGGTCAGAGGTGCGAGTCTGAGTAAGTAGATTGCTCGTGATATTCGTGCAATGCTCCTGAAATGTGGCGTTCATGGTAAGCAACTGCCCGACTTTATAAAACCTGTATAAGTTGAAAGCAGTCACCTATGCTTGAAACCTGCCGCAATTTGCACTCTTTTGTCCCGAGCCAGGTGTTAACTAGCGGAAAAACGTGCCAATCTTCGCAGACTGGCGTAAAATATCTAGGACTTGGTATGCAAAAGCATGTAAGGCCATGCAGGATAGCGTATGATACACAAGTAGCATGTATCTAATGGTGTTGCCTTCAGGCACTCGATATGCCAGAATACTACGAAATTTTTTGCATTTCCTTTGTCCAGCACTCCCTTTTTTGCACTATGGAAGACGGGGAGGGGCTCAA